TTTCAGGACATTTGTGTATTTCTAATCAACAAACTCGTCATCCTGACAAATGTCTCGGAATGTGCTCCAAGACTCTTTCCGTCTCCGGATGATGGTCAACATCCTGTCCACCATAGAGTCAAAGTGGGAGTCCACGCCGCTGATTTCCCCCTCCCTCTTACATTTCCGCAAAGCCGGTGTACTCATGCTGCACAGGAAGCCGGTTCGCCAACGCCAAGATCAGCCGCGGCGAGCAGGTACTCCATGAAGCCAGCATTTGTCTCTAGCAGGTTCAAGTTGTACTGGCTGGGCGTTGGGTAGAAGGGGCAGTCCACCTCATCATTACCAAAGCCAAATTCAACCACGAATCCGTGCATCTTACTGAGCGAGTGGTCCGTCAAGTGACGCGAGTAGGCGTAGTCATCACTTGAACCCGAAGTTGGGTACAGGTATGAGCTCTGCTCAACCTGGTAGTGGCGGCCGGTGGCGGCGTCCATGGCGTTACCCATTCGCATTGCAGCGAAGACCTTCTCCGACCAGTCGTTGCTGGGGATGTACTCGCCGTAGACGCCATTGTTGGACGGCGTATCCGGCATCAGACCGCGGACGGCATCGTACGACTCGTTCATGAAGTTCATGTACGGCTGGCGCAACTGGTTCTCGTCGCTGCCCCAGTTGTACAGGACAACGCCGATGTAGCTATGGATGTCGAGGAACCACTTGACGTTTTTGTGCTGGTCCATCACCCACTTGATGCTTTTTGACTCGGGTTCCGAGAACGCCGCAGCGCCGTGGTAAGTCTGTTCAGTCGGGTCTTCCGAAGCGACGTTGGGCCCGACGCTGGGCGCGAAACTCTTGGGGAAGTCAAAGAGAAAGTCGAAATTGCGGTTCAGGTCGATGCCAATGGCCTCCGGATTGCCCCCCGAGGCGGCCGGGTTGCGATTCTTACGCCAGCAGCTGTGTGTGGCTTGGTCATATGCCACGCCGTCAGGGTTGCTCAACGGCGTGAAGACAATACCGGTTGACAGGGCACGCTTTACGTCGTCATTGGTGTACACCCGACCGCCATACGTCAAGCCTTCGCCGTGCTTGTTCGCGTATAGGAGGTCGGAGATGAAGTAAATGATGTTATCCGATGAGCCGCGCTCGCGGGCATGAATGGCGGCGTTGAAGTACACGTGGTGCGCATTGCTGCAGTTTCCGTCTTCGCCACCGATCTTGGCACCGAAGAAAGAGGCATTCTCATACGTCTTGTACGGCGACTCAAAGTACTCAAGGTCATACTCCTGGACGAGGCCCTTGACGGCGCTCTTGATCTCGTTGACGTTGAGGAGGGAGGTGAGATTCGTGCCGGCGGGCTGGGTGCCGACGCCACGGGGGACTTTCTTGCCGCCGTCAAAGCGGTCGCCTGTGCCGATGGCGATACCCGTGTTGTTGGGGCTCGCGTTTTGGCGGCGGGCAATGCGGCCGCCGGAGGCTTCTCCGGGGAGAAGACAGGCTTCACCCAGAAGGGCGAGCGATAGGAGAGCGCAGGCCTGTGTGGTCTTCATGATGATGTCGTTCAACACGAGCAAGCGGGCTCTAGGTGAAGGATGGCCGTCGATGAGGAGCAGGGGAAGGCCAAGAACGTCGAGTTGCGTCGTCCATGAGGGTGATTGGCACTGGCATCATATATGACAGAAGTGCCAAGGGGTCATTCTCATCCTCGTTTGCCCTGCTTCGCCCGAACCATGCTGTAAGCATACGGCTGCTGCACAATGATGACCGCGAAGACGTTGGCCACTGGGGTCCTGGGGTTGGACTTGGCATCCCCGCCTCGTGGCCTGCAGCCTGCAGCTTGCTTCATGGTGGTCCTCTCTCTCCGTCGATGTCCTGCCTCCGCTTCGTATCCAGGAGCAGGCGTGAGCGCACTGGCTCGACAGGTTGGGAGATAAGCTCATTGGAGCTTGACAAGTTGATGCCAGTCAGTACAAATTGAGGAATCTAAGAGTGAGCTGAACAGGGAAGCTGGCAATCAGAGAAACCACTTACACTTAACTTTCTTGTGATGAAGGACCCATCGATCCAGTGCTGCAAAAACCATCTGCCTTCCACCCTCGACCATGGGCAGCAACAGTTCAAATCGCACCCTAGGATTGGTCAGTTCAGATTGCTCTGCGCAGATATTCTTTCTGCGCCGGTGGACTCATTAAGTGCCTTACAAATCTTGGCAAGGTCCTTTTGCAGAAGACCAAGACACGACTCAAGCAGGGAGCTTGTGCTTGGAGTCTTCGGCTCTTTGGAGATGGATGATTCGCTTGGTTCCCGCTCGTCTGTACGGATCAATCACACCGGTACAACCTTGAAAAGTGGATTGTGGATCCGGGACCCGGCTACTTAATATTTTTCGCTGATTCTTTGTATCCGTAGAAACATTAGAGATCCTGGGTTCGGACAGAGCAGGGTCTTGACCTTTGAGTCCCGGGAGCGGAAGGGCCATCACTCGCGGGGGATTTTGGCCCGATCCAGCAGGTCAATGTAACCCCCGGAGATTAGCGGCTCAAGGCGGTCCGCCCTGATGGTTAACCTGCCCAATCATATCTTGGCTTCGTTCCTCCAAATTCGAGAGGATGGGTTGCTTGGTCTGCCCGTGCTCGTGTCGGCCGCGGCAGCGATACGGGCACTGCCGTTTTCTCTCCGTACAAGTCATCTACCGCCCAATGGGAACGCGGCTATTGAACCTAGACTATCGAAAACATACACGCAGTGAGTTTGAGATGCCCTGCAAAGATTGTAAGGCTGTTGACCTGCCGCCTACAAGCCTTGATATGCGTCTGAGCATCATTGCGTGAAAGTCTAAGAGCCGGTTCTGCACCTGAATTAATGGTCAATATCAATGGCAGCTTTCACTCGTCTAGCCGAACCATAAGCTCAACTTGCGGTGATGCTGTGAGTAAGCGATGTATGAGATGAGCCCTTCTGCTTTGCATTCCAGGGTATCATACTTGGCATGCACTGGTGAGAGGCAAAACCCCTGCAGCATCTTGAACTTCACGAGGCTGTTTTATCAACCATCAATGCTTTCCCACACATCCTTCAGTACGTGTCTCATCGGTATGAAGCATTATTATTCGCACTTAATTGAGATGCAGATTTTCCATACCGTCAACGCAATCGGGTGATTCTACTTTTCTCACAGGGCTACACTTGGTCGCCTATGTCTCCTTAGGCAGTGTCGAACCTTTACTTCAGCAGGATGAGCCACGAGGAGAACAGTCACCCGGGCCACGGAGATGGCTGACTGGGGTTTTCGGTGGTCCTAGCAAGTGCAATATGGTCACAACGCCCACGCATCATCTGATGCCAGCCTGCTCGGAATTATGAAGATCCAAGAAGTCACGGCCGCAGGCGAGCTCTGTTGTGTTTTCAGATGTCGAAGTCGCAGCCTGGAAGTCATTACTGGGAAAATTTGTGCATTGGAATTGGCCGGAATATAGCATTATGATTACACGTTACATATGCTTTGTATATTTGGAGTTGAAGCCGATGTTGACGCCAAACACGAACGTGTCTCTCGGTGCTTCCTGTAACTATGTACCTTCAGTTGCGGACGACTAAAAAGACCATTGTCTTGCTCGACAGTTCCGTTCCCATGTCTTGGCTGAATCTGGTTCAACTCGCTCCTGAATGTCAGGCGGCGGCCTAGTTATCCACCTACTTCAGCCTCAGCCTGGAACCTCGATGAGTAGCATCTTCATCCTTGCTGATATGTTAAAGGCTGCGGTGCAGCTTTCCAACAACTATTGAGGTTTTTAATGACTTACCTTTGTAGCAGTGCCACACGGATGGAACAGCATACCAATCATGATCTAAAACCTTGGTGGGATCCAGCAGTGTGCTGACGAACTTTGTACGGCCTGGGCTATAAAGGGCTGAGGCTATGGGCAGGTCGTGAATCTCATCCATCGCGGAGTCGGGCATGCTCGGGGTTACAATTTTACCTTTCAAAGCCTTGTTCACAAATTACTGAAGAATCTTAAGTGAAACGATGCGTCATATATGATACAAAAGTCTGTTTGTTACCCGTCGAATGCTAGCCCAGGATAAGACAAAACCCAGTCCTGTCCATATATCCTGGCACATCCCGCTGGCATTAGAAGGGCAGACTACCGTGTCATTTTACGAGAAATGTTCATGGTATCGCAACTGTCATAAAGGCAGTCGGGGTCATCGGCGATAGTCGAGAGTTCTTACCCTCTGCATCACTTGCGTTTGAGTTTAGCAGTGGGACCTTGTATTCTTTCCTCTTCGTCGAGCCTTGGAGGCGGAGCTTTACGTAGCATTTTGATAGGGGCTTACTTCTCGCATCGTGGTACAACCGGATGCACAAATTCTTGACGCCTTGAATATCTGGCCAGGTTCATACGACGTGCCTAATTGAGGGGGCCTATCCGAGTAGGGCGCTGGGCTTTTTGGTTTTGAAGTTAGACCTGCGGCACAGCACCCCGTCCAGGCCGCGATATCCGACTCTACCGAGACGAATATTTTGTTGGGCAAAATCTGTCGCGTGTTCTTTTCTTACCCAACTCACGAGAAAACGCGACACGAGGGTTCAGAGTTGCCTCCTCTCTTCGCCGATATTTAACATCACGAAACCGAACAAAATTTTAGTCCTCACGGCTACCCAATGATGGTTTCCCTCTCAATGCAGCCACTTATGTACGCTCAACCGCGACTAGGGAGACCCGTCATGGCACCTCTGCTGCTGCGTCGATCATGGCTCAGGCCTTCTCGAGCCTTGACATCAAGATGTTTACGAAGGCGCTCGGGTCCTGATTTTTAGCAAGATACGTCAAGATCAAAGTCTCCATAACGGAGTCATAGGTCCTGGCGAGACACTGCGAGTTTGGTAATGGGGCGACATCAATGATTTCCTCGTTCACGGCATCCAACACCACGAAAGTTTCGCCAAATCGTCAGAAGTGACCGATATCTACAAGATATATGATAGGTACGCCAGAGCCCACAACGCACGTCTCATCATGAGCAACATGATTCCAGACATGGCGTACCAGGCAGTGGTACCTTATTGCATTTGGTATCCTGATGTTGCTACCGAGGAGACCTATCGAAAGCTTTGTTACCGCTACCCAGAGATGCGTTATCACATTGGACGAGCTTGCGCCGTCGCAGGATATGGGGAGCTATACAACGAATTAGACCTGCTACCGGATGTCTCCATTGCCGAGGAAGCTCGCGATAACGGCAAACTCGATATCCTTGAGCATATCATGAGCCAATCTGTGAGATATGCTGTCATGAACGATTACCAACGATCTGTTGATCTACAAAATCCACGACCAGGAGCTTATCTCAATGGGGATACCGCTGTTCGATCCTCCTTGGAACTTCATCGACCGTTGACATTTATCGGAGGCCCCCCCCCCCCCGAGAGGAATCCCAACTTAGAAAAATGGCCCTCTCACTACTTCAATATTCAAGAGGACTCCAACATCAGCGGTTGTCCTTCGCCGGGGCCTTGTCTCTTAAAATTACAAGGCGAGTACATCGCTCTGCTTCACACCCACCCCCAGAAGATTTGCCTCCTATCAACAAGGACATTTTGATTCTCATGGCTGCCTGGGACGGCAATATTGAGCGTTACTTTCGCCTCAGACGGCCAATTGCAGTTCCGAATGAGATCATGGCCGTTGTTTGCGGTGCCTACCATCACACACCATTTGCGCGATGGCTCGAATCATGCGTTGACGAACTTTTCCCACGCCAGTATGAGAACAGACTTATCAGGCAGGCATGCCATGCGCGGTTTATCATGAACGACGATCTATCCCGCATCGATAGCGAAATCGACGGCGAAATGCTTCCGGAGCTTTTCTGGTGGCCTCACTGCCCACATTCGGACACCTTGCGCGAGCTGGCATGGCGCCGACCTGACCTAAAACACCAGGTCATACTCGCATGTATAGCTGGAGACTAAGGTACCAATATCTTTTTCTTGAGCTTTTTGACGGGATGAGGCCAACACAGGAACAGTGGGAAGCCGCACATCATTCTTACAGCGAGTTCTTTAAGGAGACGATTGAACTGCGGGCGAAAGGAGAGGGTCTTGAATTCCTTAAAAAAAGCGAATGGAGCAAGGATTATCTACGCTCGACCAAGGAGCTCTATAGGGGTCATGATGAATTGGCACTGACCAAAGAGATCTTCAATGATCCTGATCAACAAAGCGAAGACTGGCATGGCTGGAGCATGCCTGAGAATAATCTGTTCAATTTTCAAATGCATTCTCAGATGGCCAAATAGCAGCAATTGATCACTACCACTGATAAAGCGAGACAAGGAGTATCCATCAAAGCGTATAGTGGTCTGTATTCAACGATGGAGGATTACGAACGACGATCAGAACCACCTCCACAGCCTATATTTCCGAAGTTCTTGGAACTTTCTCACGAGTTTGATGAGTAAGTGCATTGGCAGACTGTATTCATAGAAGAAATGAAACATCACTGGACAGCGACAGTCATCTCTACTAAGCAGTGTTCCGAACCGTTGAAAAGTCTTATATACACACTCTATCCAACTTCTACTTGGAAGTGATCGGGTTCCCTCAAATCTCCAAATTGACTAACTTGCCATGAAGCTCGGTGAGTTCTTCGCGGGGGATTTCTTGCAAGAAAGAAATAAAAGAAGAGGAATCAGCGCAGGAATAGTCGGGGATCTCTAGATATTGGCCTTCGAATTCACAGTCCGTTATCTGAAGTTTGCAATCGCTCAGTTCGTCTCGCACAACTTGAACGACATCTGACCAATTGCTCTCGCTCTGGACTAGATTGATGTTTTCCAAATCCAGGTCATTCAAGCTCGCACCATGCCGGCGCAACAGTTCAGTTAAATCTCCGCCCTCACCTTCGAAGCCTGAGAGGGGAGATGAAACTATCGACGCCTCCCTGTTTTTGTAGCTGAAGTTACGAGTCGTGCCATCGAATCTCAGAGAACGTATCTGAAATCCAAATTCTCCAAGTCTGTCTTGTCGTGCATTCCAAGCCTCATCCCGTCAACCTTCTCGACCCCATCAACGTTACCGTACTTGCTATCCCGGCGCCTATTTTGCCAAGCCATGTACAATCGTAAGACGATCGCAGTCAAAAGTGCCGCGCAGAAACAGACCAAAACTACCGCAATAGCAAGAACGTACTTTGGGGCGTCTTGACTGCGGAAAAAGAATGGACCAGCGATATTTCCAGCAGCGAAGACCATTAGGAGCATGGTGTTAGTAAATGCCCGCTTGGTATGGCCTGCGACATTTTGACCGACAATAGTCAAGACAAATGGCCACTTGTGAAAACAGGTTAGTAAGAGGTTTTTCGCTTGCAAGAGGGCTCAGTGACTCACTGTTACAGCATACGAGTTGATCAGCCAGTATGCAACTACCCGCCCGTACTTGTTTGCCCCCGTATCCATAGTAGCATAGACAGCCGCGATTCCTGCAATCGCAGGTAGCAGAGGTATGATCATGCCCCATGTTCGGAGATTTCCATACTTAATTGAAATGGTTCCCCAAACAATCATGCTCCCCGCACTGACAACGGATGAAGGAAGGCCAATGAGCAGTGTTCGGAACGCGTCAAAGCCGAACCCTGAGATAACCAGGCTTCCGAATGATGTGAGACCGCCATTAGGGAGTTGAGTGAAGAGAACAAATGACAGTACCAGCCAAGTCTTGACATCGATTACTGCATGCCACATCTGGTAGTGCTTCCATTCATACCCTTTGATGCCTGTCATGTTCTGCGCAACACGCTGTACGGCAATGACTTGTTCCTCGTGTGTGAGAAACTTGGCCTTGTTGGGGGTTTCCGGCATAAAAATGATCCAGAGGACGCCTACCAAGATGCTGAGAATGCCCAAGACTAGGAAGATGTACATCCAAGGCCTCAAGGCGGTGTTGGTAATATGACCCAGGCCGAAAGACAACAAGCTGCAAACAATGGAAAATGCCCCTTGCATAGCAGCCCACAGCATCGTACGCAAGACCTGTTCCTTTCGGGTGTACCAGATAGAAGTATACAGCAGAATGCCAGGAGTTACAACCGATTCAGCTACACCGAGGAGGAAGCGGACTACCATCAGTCCGGCAAAGTTTCGCAGGCCAAGATGGCTTTCCGATAGTCAGTTATACGACAATGAATGTTTGAGGAGGGCTGTATTCTCACGCAAGCATTAGCACACCCCAAATAATCACGGCAGAGCTGAGAATCCGGACTGTCTTATATCTCTGAAGCATATAGTTGGCAGGGTATTGCGCGGCAAGGTATCCGCTGCAGATGGTCAGTTTACTCTTGAATCCACAGATTTGGTCGTCATCACTAACAAGTAAAACATGGAGCTGGCCCATGAATATTCATCTCCCACCAGACCAAGGTCTTTGCGGAAGTCGAACAATACTGCCCATCCCATTGCAACTTTGTCGACATAGTTGAGGCCATACAGCAAGCACATCAATGCTAAAAGATGGCGATCAATCTTGCGCCTGACAGCATTGGCAATATCCTGCGGCACGGACTGCGCGATGCCTTCCTCAAAAATATCATAGCCTTCATCAGCGACTTGCCCTTTGAGAGCGACCTCATGGCCGCTGGCAGTGTCAGCCGCTGCCGGTGATGCTTCAATGTTGTCGCTCATTTTCCGGGACGAACCTTGAGAATGAAAAACAAGCTATGTGGCCTTTCTTTGCGATATCCGGCTCGGTGTTCTAATATCTCCGCTAGAAACACGCTTGTCGAGAGCAGCACCGCCGTAATCATGGATAATCGTGCTGCATCCAAACATTTGAGAATGGTAGATGCACTGGCTCGGCCTCTAAAAGCCGACTTCGCTATCAATTGTGGCACCTTCGAGTAAGCTTGAATGAATGTCTCCACAACAAGTACATATAGGTAGCCACTGATGACCTATCAATCAATGGGAAAACATTTATCTTCTTTTCCCCTGCGGTGGACAATGTGCCGGTCAGCCGGACATTAGCTTTGAGTCTTGGAGTAGCTGATAAGATGTGGCTTCCTTTGCCGGCGGGCAACCGCTCCGATCTTGTTATCCCGACGGCTCGGAAAACTTCTTGAGTGGTTTTGTATCGCGTCCCCGCCTTCGACAAGGACAAGATCTCCAAGACAAAGACAGTGGACCCGGCTTTCCGCTCAAAAGCTTAGCATGTAGGGGTTGTATCAACGTCCCCCACTTGCCTCGTTTCTATGTGGATCGCCGGGGAAGCCCGAGCGGCCGATAAGACTCTGACTATTTCGCACCATACAAACTTGACCCATGGATCGGACAAGCACACCGATCTGCTTCCGAGTGATTCCCGGCGCCCATTCCAATTCTTCGGTCCTCAGTAAAGGATAAGTCCAGTAAGTCGACTTTGGGCAACATCCGAAACGTGGTCGCCACTCTTTGCGCTGTCGATCGCCATTGACTTTCTGTGTTAGATGCAACGCTGGCCGAAGCTCAGGGCCTATCAGTAAATCAGTCATCCGTCTTCAAGTAAATACAATTCAAAACCACAAACATATCGCCAGATCATGCAGGTCCCAGACATTGACCAGGCTCACTGCCTTGCCTTCTTGTCAAGGCTCATTCAAATCAAGAGCTACTCGCAGACCGATGGTGAGCTAGAGGCAACGGATTTCATGGCCGAGCAAATGAGAAAGATTGGACTGGAGTCGGCTATTTGCCCGTTCGACAACGGCCGCCGTCAAAATGCGATAGGGATCTGGAAGGGCCACCATTCAGTGTCAGCAGCGAGCAACAAAGTCCCCAAAACGCTACTCTTCAATGGACATCTAGACACAAATCCTGTCTCCGAAGGTTGGACGATCGATCCTTGGGAGGGAAAGATTGATAACGAGTTTATCTACGGCATTGGAGTCAGTAACATGAAATCTGGCTGTGCCGCGTACTTTTGCGCCGTTGAAGCGCTGCTTAAGGCTGGCTGGCGGCCCAGAGGCAATGTTGTCCTAACCTATGTGGTTGGTGAGCTTCAGGGAGGCGTTGGTACAATGGCCCTCATTGATCAAGGAAAGATCAATGCCGATTGTTTTGTTAACTGCGAACCGTCGGATATACAAGCAGTCACAATGCACGCGGAAGCTCTGGTCTTCGAGATTGAGATTGTTGGAGTCACTCGACACATGTCAGCCAAGGAGGAGGCATCCGATGCGATCCTGGCGGCATGTGAGCTGATTCCCCAGATGGCACGTATGAAATTCCGTGGAGCCGAGAGCAGTGAGCATGAAAAGTGCAACAGATGTTCAGTGGGCGTTGTTCATGGTGCCCTTGGGAAAGACTTGGTTGAATAGAGACCTGCCCAAGTAGCGGACGTATGCAAGCTTGCTGGAAGTGCGCGCTACGCTCCTGGCCAGACACAAGAAGGTGTCATGGCTGATATTCGCGAATTAGTGGACACGGTAGTTGGTAATTATGCTGGTATGTCGGCTACTGTCAAGCAGCGATTTGAGCCTACAATGCCGGCTTTTGAGGTGCCAAGAGACTCACAGATAGTGAGAGCCCTGAACAAGGCCTATCGCCAGTTTCGCAACTACGAGCAGCCAACAGGGGTTCTTGCGCCGACTTGCTTCTATGGATCCGACGCTGGCCACCTGTTCAAAACTTTGGGGATGGAAGGTATTGTCTGTGGTCCTGGAGGGAAGTACAACACCCGGCCGGATGAGAAAGTAGACATTCCGGACTATCTTGACTGCATCAGAATGTTCATGCGTCTGATCGTCGATATCTGTGGTTGAAATTGAGTATATCAAATGACTACTGCACTATTCTGAAAATAGGCAGCTTATGCAGTCTGTCTCTGGTCCTGCGTTATGCTGCAAGTGGCCATCAGCGATCAGGATGCACCGTAGAAGATCAAGCCGTTTTTTGCAACACGAAGCTGAGTAGTGTCGTGGCAGCAATATAGGTTGCAGGAGCATATTTCACTTCAGGTACCTTCTCAGGGGATAACAAACCATCACCTCATCTCATCACATAAGATTTGGCTTCCACCCAAACTAGGAAGCCAATGTTATTCTTATCATTGTTAGGGTCTCCAAAACCCGGTATCCCCGCAATCGGTCGGGGACTGAACGATGGTACTAGTAGTGGATTGGCACAAAACCCCTACCAAATCTGCTTCGCTTTTGGTCAAAGTTAACATCCAGTCCAGCAACCGCGTTCATTGGGAAGACATTGACAGCCGCAGCAGCAACCTCAATCTAGCATTCCAACTCCCATCCGACTAAACGACTAAGATAGTATGGTAGCTCATGGAGATCAAGGTACCACAACATGAAGCTGAGAAGCTCATGCTTCAATCGCCTGACACTACGAAACTTCGCCATTGGTCAAAATTGTACAGCGCAGAACCCCACCTAGCCGGGGACCTAGCCCACGCAGAACGCATACGGGATCTATGGATTTCGTACGGTATCCCGGCCGCATTGGAAGAATACCAGGTCCTGCAAAACTTTCCAAAGTCTCAAGCTCTGCATCTCCTTGCACCGGATGGACAGATAGGTTTCGAGGCATCCCTGACAGAGGACGAGGTGTCAGAGGATCCAACGTCGTCTCCTCGAAATGGTTTACCCGCCTTTCATGGCTTCAGCGCAAACGGCGAAATCTGCGCCGAATTGGTGTATGCGAACTTCGGCGAGTTGAAAGACTTTGAGCTGCTGAAGTCGCATGGAATCTCCGTGAAAGGCAAAATCGTCATATGCAAGTATGCCAAGGTCTTTAGAGGCCTCAAAGTTAGAGCAGCCGAACAGTATGGGGCAGCCGCTGTCATTCTGTATAACGACCCTCAAGAGGACGGCGAATACACTGTTGAGAATGGCTATGAGCCCTACCCTCACGGTCCAGCAAGGCATCCCAAAACAATTCAGCGAGGCAGCGTCGACTTCTTCTCCGTGGCCGTGGGTGACCCCACGACACCCGGGTACCCCAGTTTGCCAGACACCGACCTTGAACGACAGGATCCTGGTCACGCAACCCCAAGGATACCATCTCTGCCAATCTCTTATGCGGATGCTATTCCTTTCCTTCAGGCATTGAACGGCCATGGACTTATACCTAGTCAGATAGCCGGTGAGCACAGCGACTGGAAAGGATGTCTTCCGGCAGTGGACTATTGTACTGGCCCTAGCCAAGCCAGAGTCTTTCTGTCGAACCAAGGTGAGCAATTTTGATCTCAAGCTGTCCGGAAACCAGGCAAAATTTCTGACTATATTCCCAGGCACTTACAAATACGCCCCGATCTACAACGTTATCGGGACCATACGTGGGACCATTGAAGAGAGCATCGTTCTTGGTAATCACCATGATTCTTGGTGCTGTGGAGCTATCGACCCAGTGAGTGGGACGGCGGCCATGAACGAGGTCGCTAGGGCCCTTGGCGAGCTTTACTCAAAAGGCTGGAAACCATACAGGAAGATGTAAGTAATGCATCGTTATAGTTCCAAGATTCAACCGGTAAGGGTTATGTCTCACTACCCATGACATGCAGAATACTAGCAAACTGGGACAACGAAGAATACGGCCTGGTCGGCTCTACCGAATGGGGCGAACACCACCAGGACGATTTAAGCAAGAACTGTGTTGCCTGTAAGTCTTATGAAATGTCTGGATTGTGGGAAAGATAGGAGCTGATCTTTGCTCAGACCTTAATGTTGACGAGTCGACCAATGGTGGGACGATCCTTGGCGCGACAGGTAGTCCTCTTCTTGCAAGCGTGCTTCGTGATGTTACTCGCATGGTCCAATCGCCGATCAACGAGAATCGAACAGTCTATGATGACTGGCTGAGCGACCAAAAGAGAGCCAACCCAGAGCAGGTGACCCCAACCCTCGATCTAATGGGTACGGGAAGTGATTACACGGTCTTCTTCGATCATCTCGGCATTCCATCCGTTGACCTGCTCTTCAATCGGCAGGGAAAGGGTGTTTATCCTTATCATTCCAACTACGATAGTTACTACTGGGTCGAAAATTTTGGCGATATCGGCTTCAAGAAGCACCTTGCGATGGCTCAACTCTGGGGGCTATTGACGGTTCGCCTTGCTGGTTTGGGTAATATTGCGTTCGAGGCAGCGGAGTATCCGAGGACCCTCGCTCATCACTTGGAGAAGCTCAAGGCCAAATATGATAACGTCCTCAGCTTTAATGCTCTGAGCAACGCAGTCACGCATTTCAAAGACGCCGCGTCTCGATTAGACGCGATATCGCCACTCAGAGTCGCTCCAGGAAACATGCAAGTTGACAATGAAGTCAACAAGGCCTATCTCTATCTTGAGCGGCAGTTTCTTTTGCCAAAAGGGGCTGGGTTGCCTGGGCGGGAGTGGTATCGACATGCTGTAAGTTTAAGTCTGAGGTCCCCGTTGTTCGTGTTCTAACATACTGGCAGATCTTTGCACCAGGGCTGTGGTATGGCTATGACGGAGTCATCTTTCCCGGAGTTGTGGAATGCTTGGAAGATGGTAACGACGAGGGTGCTGCTGAGTGGCTAGAAAAGATAATCGCTGCCATCCAGAGAGCCACATACAGCTTGCTATAAACCTGCGAAGAAGTACACTATCTGTTTGAAACATTTCAATACAACACTCATTCAAAGACTTTGCACGGAAATTCCTCGTCCAGGCCAACACGCCTGGGGCAGAAAACGCTTTGAATGTTACAATGATCCATTCTATTGAAGTCAACATCAATGACATTCCTGGAGCATAGAAATCAATGGAAATAATCTCAAATGACGATCAAACGACGATAGTTACCTCCAGGGCTCGCTATCAATTAAGTCAGCAGATGGCAGCAATCAGGATTCCTTAACATCACTCACTGGCCCGTGTGAGGTACTCGAGTTCGGGACGAGATGAGTCTTGCTTTGATATCGTGTAGTTCCAGCGAGTTCCTCCATGTTGCCTCTCACATACTCGAGGTACTTAGGCGCACCGGGAATGTCAGTATTGTCTGCCAATACAACTGATCCCTTGTGAAGAACTCCTAGTTCCTCACAGAGCTTCAAATCTGGAAGGTAGATGTCTTCCCAGTGGTCGAAGAAGACTGCATCAACACTTTCGGTCTTAAGATCTCCGTTCTTCACAAGAGTCTCCAACGACTCTGCGCCTGGTCCGTCAAGGACAGTGACAATGTCGCTCATACCAGCTAGTTTCACAACGTCTCGTGCAATCTCTGCTAATTCGGGGTCGAGCTCGAAACTGTAAACGCGAATGCCACTATTGTCGCCTGGATAAAAGTCTCTCAGCATAGCGCCCCATGCTATCGTCGAATTGCCAACGAAGCTTCCAAACTCGACCATCAGCTTTGGCTTTGGGCTCATATCTGCGAGAGCGACTCGGGCCAGGTTCATCTTGGTTTCACGGAATATCATGGGGAGCTTTTCGGTGTTGGCAAAGTCCTCTATGAGTCGCACAAGTTCCCAAGGGTTCTCTTCGAATTTGCCCTCCGGTAAAGCGGATACATGTTTGTGCAAAGCAACAGCGCGAGCTTTGCAAAACGATTGGAACTAAGTCAGAAAGCGATTAGCATGCTTTCCTGTGGAATAAGATGTAGCTTACGTCTTTGATGTTATGATAAGGATGGGCCATGTTCTTGAATGTGTTCTGAAAAGCGCCTTTATCTTTTCTACGGCACGAAGCAAGTACTATGTCTCAATTTAACTATCTCACTTTTCCTGATGAGACATCAGTACGAGAACCTTTTATTCCATCTAACATGACTCCATTCGGAACAGCCCCACTAACTTAGCATTTCGGTTCGCTCCAGAGCGGGGCTGTTCCGAACGTCGAAACGTTCAGTCACCAGAATTACGGTGTGTCATCTGAACTTTTATTGGATGGAGCGACACAACATCGTACTATACGTTGCAAGTGGCGGCCTTTATGACGCGGCAAGCTCATGCGCCCTACAAACATACGCCTTATGAGAGCCTCGTTGTCCGAGCCTCCGAGCCGCTGACTTCTGATCTATTTCTTGGCGACATTGGCAACACTATGGCAACTCGCCCTGGATTCAACCACGGTCGTCGGGGCATGTGTCAAAAGCTTATCAACACGGCCTTCAGTCTATCGCAAACCCCGAGATCAAGGGTTCTATTGATGAATAAATCGAAAGTCGCAGGCCCGGTGGTGTTATCAGGTCTTAGCGTAAGGTCAAGGGTCAACCTTTTTACTCGATGCTGTACCAAAAGGCACTACGCAGCTGTATTAGTTACATGAAGTAAAATTGATGAAATTAGTGATAACAGCCTCGCTGGGTAAGCGATAGACTATCAGTAATTAAGTCAAGTCGCCATCGTTAACCTTACGCTAAATTTGCACCATGCCTGTTGGAGTTTCGTATTCGCGGAAAGGCATGGTAGCGAGGGTTCCGGAAGACTCCTATCAAGTCGATGATATTTCAACGCGTAATCGTGTACGTTTATTATGAGTGAAGTTCGCGAACGAAAGGGCAGGACAATGTCCCGCCGTTGATAGTTTGGTAAATCATAGCGAAGCTGTCAGCTTCGGACTGGTTTCGATGTCATGACAAAGCTTTCTATCATGAAGACAATCATCAGGTAGGTTGAGCTGACTTTCATATGACTGTGTACACATCTCAGTCAAGGCCCAACTCCATCAGTGACGGCATGTTTTGAGTATCACAACGATTTGAGGTATAGAAATATTGTTAACCTGGATGAGAGGAAGTTGATTTCCCATTCATACTGGGAACCAAGACCATCAGTAAAATGCCGCTGG